TTCCATTCTTGCATGGCGTCTGCCAGATGTTTCGCCAAGCATCCCACCGGATCTTGAATGGCCCAAGGTGAGGAAACAAAATCCAACTGCTGTGGAAATGTGCGAAATTTAAAGGCCCATCATTGTGAAATATTGAATTTCATATAGTGAAAGGATAAATAGTAAACGGTACCCACAATAGGTTCTAGCCTATACTTAAAATCACACAAAAGAAAATTGCACAAGGGTAGTAGCGGCATGTAGTTGCCAATGGCCACAGGTCCCGGTGCTTGCGTGCTATCGATGCAAAGATGTACCTGGTCCTGTCGATGCGAACCTTCAACCGCGGACCGCCGATGATTCCCCACGACAATCCGCGTGAGGACTCGATCCACATCATGGCGGGCGAACACCTGGGCTTGCCGTTTTGGACTCGCTTCAATGCCCACGAGAAGTTCCACCTCAGCGAGTACGTGCGGAGCTTTATGGAGCGGCTCGGGTACCAGGTGAACACGTATGAGGTGATGGATGGTCGTAAGCTTGTCCCCTACCAGTGTGTTGTGGTGCGGCAGCAGTGGGATGAGTTGAGAACATCTTTCGTTGAAGCCTTCCGCGTGCAGAAAGCCGCCTACCGACATGCCAATGGAGGATCATCAACACCGACCTTGACGGAGGCTGCACGTCCACGGTGGATTTCCGCTGCGCATGATGTTTGCCCTGCAGCCCACATCAAAAGTGACTGCAGTGTGCGGATTGGTAATGCCGCTGCCTCTTCGGATTCGACAGATGTGAGTTCTGTGAGTACATTCTTCGTCTAGGTCATTTTCATGGTGTGTTCCAAGTCACTATAAGTCACTCCAAGCTACCCATGGTTATCATATGTTATCATGGTTCAGCATGGTCTTGTTGGCAAAAACCTATGCCGCGTACACTACAATGTGTAGTTCATGGATTTCGTAAATGTACCATAATTCTGGGACATACCCATATCACCTGCCTGCAGAGTCCACAAAAAACTCTGTCCGCTTCTCAAAGGGATTGATCAAAAGCCCATTGAAGCATATATTTTTGTTAGGTAGGTACAAGACCTCCCTGCGTCCGAAGCTTCCACCAGAGCTGCTTCGCCACAAAGCCAGCCGGTAGAGCTTTACCACAAAGCCAGCCGGCAGATTGTATAGAGTCCTTCGATGTCCTTTGCCGCTTCGGCTTTGTACAGCCGGCTGAGTGGGTACGGAGCAAGTGCTCTGCAAACCCCTCTGCTCGGATCCAGTTTGGATTGCCCAATGTCCCATGATGGCCCTTGGAGGCTCGACACCTCACCGATACCTCCACCTCGATGGTTGTTGGACATGACCCCCCCCTAGTGGTTGGGAGACTGGGAGATGTTTGCCTTGCATGAAATGGATTGAAATGGGACATTTCAGCCTTATCAATTCACATCTTTCCAGATGGGATGAACTTTATTAATTTATTTGATTTTGGCTAGGCGTGTGGAGTTGCCAGTACAGCGATGCGAACACGTGGTACGACCTGGTCGTGCTGGAAGTGATTTGCTCGAACTGAAAGAGTTTCAAGAACCAACTCACCACACGGCTTGCACAATGGGTAAAGTCTAGCAAGAAACTGGGGATACCTCTCCGATTTTTTCGAAACATGAAAGAAACCCTATGAAATCCTATGGAATCCTGGATGTGGATTCCTTATGCTTCCTTCGTGTCAGAGTGATTCCCAGTTTTTGGACGCCAGAGCCCAGTTTTGTTTGCACGATTTTGCACGTCGTGCAAGCTCCTCTTTTCATCTCGGCGTGGGCTTAAAGATTCCAGCTGTTTGGAGGCCTCAGCACCCCAATTTACATGCAATTTTGATGTGGCTCTCTGGTAATGACTAACATAGCTATTGAACATGGCCATAGAAATAGTGTATTTTCCCTAAAAAAATGGTGATTTTCCATAGCTATGTTAGTTTACCAGAGGGTAATTTGGATGGTGAACCCAAACCAATTTTGGGCTACTCTATGTTTGGAGACACATTACAAACGCAGACGATGACTTTCTGATGATTTCTGATGTCCTGTATTTCCGAGCTTGCCAGTTATCAAGAAGGGGCCAAAGTTGCCTAGAAGAGGATCCCAGCTCTCGGTCGGCATGGCGGATGCGGCGTTTGTGGCAGACAACCATGGTGCGTGGCTGAAGTTTGTGCCGAGTTCCATGTTAGATGAGCAATGGGAGGTGGCGGCCAAAACACCCGAGGCTGTGCTTTCTCATCGCTCATGCCCTTGGGGTGGTCACCTCATCAAGATCGACTCAAAGACGCTAGATACATCTAGATACTGCGAATGTACCAAACAATGCTGTTCCGTGATCTTCTATGTTTCATTTTGTGACGTGAGTCTCACATGATCTCACATACGTTATGTACAGATCACTACAGATCACTACAGATCACTACAGATCCGCAGATTCGCAACTGCTTCGCGGATATGTTTCTCCGCCAGCCCCAGCCTACGCCATCCCAGGAGCATCTTCATTCAGAAAGCTCCGGAAAATTCCTGCGACGTCCTGGTGCGACCCGAAGTGCAAGCCACGTTTGAAGGCGATATGGAAATGACTCTTAGGTGCTTGGAAACCCATGCGCCTGGCGATGCGCTTATCGAACGGACCAATTCCATGTGGATCCTCCGTTTCGCAGCCGAAGCTTGGCAAGGATGGTGGATGGTGCTGTCATGGAGAAGTGTAAACTCTTGAGATGGGTGGAGGATACACCAAAAAGATCCACAAGGGCAAATTGATGTATATAAATTGATGATCAGGGGCACCCTAGTTTAGACAAACCTACGTGAAGTCCCTACACAGCGGAAAAGAATGCTTTGGAGAGAACGGAATGATGAGAGGGAAACTGTGGGAATGCATCGCAGGCCCTGTGCCGTAACACCCAGTTGAGCCAAGGTCCTTTTTGGCAGCTGTCATGACTCCTTCGCGTACCGCTTCTATCACAAGCTCCCTGTGTTGTCGCAACACCGGCTTTACAAGGATTTCCCTGAGCCAGGAGACTGTACCTACTTCGCATTAGAAGGCTTTTGGACCATGCGCCGTGTGCCAGGTTCGGTCAGTCACTATCGTTCGGTCCTCGTGTTCAATACACCTGAAGACAAATGGGCAACTTGGGCTTCACCATTTTATCCTGGTTTCACAAATATGTTCCACAAAGTAGCCGACAAAGTGTTGAACAGCCCCACAATCAGAGACCTGCGAGCCACTGATGCCAACATGTACTCGGTCCTGACTCTGCAGAGCTTCAATCGCGGGCACCCCATGGTCCCGCAGAGCAAGCCTTGTGAAGACTCTGTCACTGTTGCAGCTGGCGAACATCTCGGCTTGGTGTCTTGGACCCGTTTCAAACCTCATGAGAAGTTCCACCTGAGTGAGTACATGCGGGACTTTACGGAGCGGCTGGGGCACCAGTTGCAGACGTATGGGGTGATGGATGGCCGCAAGCTTGTTCGATACCAGTGTGTGGTGGTCCGGCAGCAGTGGGATGAGTTGAGGACACCTTTCTTTGAAGCCTTCCAGGTTCAGAAAGCAGCCTACCGCCGTGCAAATGGAGGAACAACAGCACCAAGCTTGGTAGAAGATGCTGCTCCACGTGTTGTTTTGCGTGATTTTAGTTGCTGTGCTCAGCCAGTGGGCATCAAAACCATCGTGCGCAAGACCTTCATTGAGCTTGATGAAGGTTCAGACCATTCTGCTGGCTGCCTCAAGCGAAGCAACTCGACAGGTGAAATATTGGCCTACTGTGTGTAGTCAATCGGCAAGCCATGGCTGCAAATTTACATGCAATGTTCTTGAAATCGGTGTATATAGCATTGTATCGGAATTGTATCGCACAGAGTCTGCAAAGAGTTTGTTGTACAGTCGGGGGTGCAGGAGGTGGTTCCTAGATGTTTTAATTCCTAGATGTTCCTCATGCCTTGCACGCCCCGTTCAGAACATGGCAAGGTGCCAATGTTGGGTTTGGACATGGATGGGGCAGATGGATCTCAAGATCAGCAGAAAGATCGCAGGGCCAATCCCAAGTTCATGCTAGGCGTGTCTCGTGCAGATCCAGAAAGCCCCTGAATGCTCCTGATTTATTTTGTTTTGTGACCGACCTATCCAACCCATTCTGATCCCACATTGGCCAAGCATGTTGACCTGTGCTCCGCACAGAGACGCACACGATCCTTCACGGATTACCCATGAAGTGACTGGATGAAAAGCATCGAATTCAATGATTTTGCATATCCGTCTGGGCACCTCATAGCTTTGAATGGCATAGAGGTTCCAGAATCCAGCGAGTCCAGAGGGTCACAGCGAGGGGACACTGCTGGAGGCGGACTGTACAGCACACCCCTTGCAACACCCTATTGCCTGAAGGCTTGATGCCCGCATTAGTAGCCGCAGGCATGCGACCAGTCGTGTGTGCAAAAGACACGGACACAGCGACGGGACACGTTTGGAGGTTGAGTGCATGTGGTCAGGTCAAGTAATGTGGGAAGCCCAATAATTTAGCATTTATGTAGCCATCCTGATTAATCAATATTAATATATTACGATAATATTGATAATATATATATATATATATATTAAGATATGTTAAATCTGTGCTAAAAACCAACCCCAAATGGTAGGTTCATCACATGGTATACATTATTTTATATGCGATATTATGCGATACTTGATGCATTTTGGTGATTTGTATTGATTTGTGGAAATTTGACGACTATTGCTGCCTGTGGGACTGCGTTTGTCAATTCTCACAAAGGGGCCAAGCTTGCTTAGGGCTTAGAAGAGGATCCCAGCTTGGGTGAGAGGCATGGCGGCTGTGGGGCCTGTGGCAGACAACCATGGTGCGTGGCTGAAGTTTGCGCCGAGTTGCATGTTACTGTAGATGAGCAATGGGGGAGGTGGCCGCCAAAACGCCCGAGGCAGTGCTCTTTCATCGCTCATGCCCTTGGGTGGTCACCTGATCAAGATCGACTCAAAGATGCTAGGTGCTGAGTTACGCTATTCCTAGATATTAGTCATGTTTGACTTGTTGAGCTCTCTCCCATACCCTTAAGGCACAGTTGTCGTGAGCCCAATAGGCATGAATAACCCATTTGATAATATGGAATAATGCTTTCATACTCACGGGCGGTATATAATTATGTAAATATTCAATGGGAATTTCAGGATCCTAAATTGGAGGTACCTACCATATATAAGGCCTATATAAGGGCTATGTAAGGGAATATCCCCAGAAAATATGGCCTTATATGGTACAGTACCTCCATTTTAGGATCCTGAAATTCCCATTGAAATATGCTCCCCCCCCCAAGACCTACATTTTGTGTATCAGATATGTCCTTGAATGCCTTGTCTTCCTTCTTATCTTATCACCTATTGTAGCACTGCATCAGGAAAGTATCTTGGGCGCATGCGCCTGGACACATCCTGCCCACATATGTAGCTGCAACATAGCGCGGTAACATCATGTAACATCTATATTTGACATATTTATTGGGCTATATTTCATGTTTTCTTTTTTATTTTTTTAGACATTTTTTGATATATCAACACGAATTTTATATCTAATGTATGATCTGATTCTTGCAAGTCTGCTTCTTAAATATATTCTACAACATTTGGTATTTTTTACATAACCTTTAGGATTTGCAGAAGTATGATTAATAGGGGAATAGATGGATTGAAATTTTGCTATTTGTTTTTACAGTATAGAGTATAGCCACAGTGTAGCATATTATCTTTTTATTTTCATTTTTGATGAATACAACTTTTTGTAAGGTAGCTTTTATAAATATTTACTGGTGGAATTCATGTTTACTAAATTTTCTGTAGCAATTTGAAACCTTTTAGCTTCTACCAAAGCTGAGCTTTGTGCAAGATTAGATGATATAGTTAGTGCATCTTGAGATTTTACATTTTGCAGATAATAAAAGTGTAAAAAAAGTACACTAGATATGTATAAGACTAATCTCCAGTTATAATTGTTAGACATATTGATTTTATAATGCAATTACCTTTTTAATCCTCCTACAATTTCATAACATTCCATCAAGCTTTGCATAGTAAATTGACAATAATCAATCATATTCTCATTTGATGTTACTTGTCTTATTTGTTCTTGGGAATCTACGTTATTTCCATTAGCTTTTTCTTCAGTATCTACAATCTTTTGTGCAGAAGGGTTGGTATTTTTTTGCATTAATACTTCATTCAAAATCTGTGTAATGCAGATGATCTTGTAATTTCATTGCTTTAAATCAAGGAGTGCTTGGGTTAGATATTTTTTGTTACACAGAAATGATTTTGATAATAATATATTAATAAGTAAACAAAAACAACTAGATCAGTTTTTAATATATTTGTTATATTATAATTTGCCTTACTTTTTTATAGTTCTCATGTTTTTTTTAAAAGTATTATCGGAGTTTCTAGCATTGGGTGAATATATATATATATATGTATTTTCACTTCGAAAGATTCTATATTTTCACTGGTTCTTTTGCCTCTATATTCTGAGGATCCAGTTTTAAGTTATTATTTTTTTAAAAAAATATATCTTGAATATGTTTTTTCAGATTGATTTGTTTGTATTTTTTAATGATAGTATTCTACCATTTTGTGATGTGAACTTTGATAGCATTTCAGGGTTTTTATAGTCTATTACATATTTTCCTCAACATAAATTGCAACCATGTTTTTTTAAAAGGAAAAAATTTTTGCCGATCTATTTGCAACCCTTTCTAATACATTTTGTTGGGAAGGTTTGGTTGATCTGTAGATAAAGAGGTATTGCTATCGGATGAGCTCATGTATTTTTACTTATTATTGTTTATATTTTTTCTTCTTCTTCTTTAACAAAATTATTGTTTAAGATTGCAGAAGGTTCTTGTTCAATTTATTTTACTTTTATTATGATGAATCTAACTACCTTTATTGCAAGTTTTTCAATGTTTTTCGTTATTTTTGCCAAGAGTTGATTGATTTGCGTGGAAATCAAAAAAGTAATAGGCTTTACAGGCTTTAGAATTTTCTTTAGAATTTTACAGGCTGAGGAATGTCCTTTCTTGGGGGGATACCATATATACATATATAGTATATATATATACATATTTATATATATATGTATACATGTTACATGCATATACATATGGTTTTTTATTTACAGTATGTTTTTTGTCCTCCTATCTTCTCCAGTAGTATACCATCCGAGGAGCATTTTCGTTGAAAAAACTCCAGAAAATCCATGCGACGTCTTGGTGCGACCAGAAGTGGAAGCCAGCAGAAACTCGGCAGCTGGGAGATACAATGTGGGAAGCCCTGGCTGCCATAAACCTACCATTCCAGGACGGCTTGCTTCATGGGATCATGGCCTGTGGTCTATGAAGAGCTGCTTCGCTGCAACTGAGCCAAACGGTCCTCTAAAAAATATCTAACATGTTGCACTGAGACCCCAGCCCCCTGACAGCTAAGGTTCTTTTCGGCAACTGTCATCACTCCTTTGAGGACCGCATCTATCACAAATTTCCCGTGTTGTCACAGCACCGGCTGGACAGAGATTTTCCCGAACCGGAGGTGCCGCATACTTTTCAGCAGAAGCAATGTGGATCAATGCGCTGTTTGCCAGATTCTTCGCACCGTCGCTACCGTTCGATCCTTGTGTTCGGCACGCCGGAAGACAAATGGGCAACTTGGGTTTCGCCGCTTTTCCCTGCTTTCACTTATATGCTCCACAGCACTGTGGAGAGAGTGCTGAACGGCCCCAACATTCGGGACCTGCGAGCCACTGATGCCAACATGTACTCGGTCCTGACTCTGCAGAGCTTCAATCGCGGGCACCCCATGGTCCCGCAGAGCAAGCCTTGTGAAGACTCTGTCACTGTTGCAGCTGGCGAACATCTCGGCTTGGTGTCTTGGACCCGTTTCAAACCTCATGAGAAGTTCCACCTGAGTGAGTACATGCGGGACTTTACGGAGCGGCTGGGGCACCAGTTGCAGACGTATGGGGTGATGGATGGCCGCGAGCTTGTTCGATACCAGTGTGTGGTGGTCCGGCAGCAGTGGGATGAGTTGAGGACACCTTTCTTTGAAGCCTTCCAGGTTCAGAAAGCAGCCTACCGCCGTGCAAATGGAGGAACAACAGCACCAAGCTTGGTAGAAGATGCTGCTCCACGCTTTGTTTTGCGTCATTTCAGTTGCTGTGCTCAGCCAGTGGGCATCAAAACCATCGTGCGCAAGACCTTCATTGAGCTTGATGAAGGTTCAGACCATTCTGCTGGCTGCCTCAAGCGAAGCAACTCGACAGGTGAAGTATTGGCCTACTGTGTGTAGTCAATCGGCAAGCCATGGCTGCAAATTTACGTGCAATGTTCTTGAAATCGGTGTATATAGCATTGTATCGCACAGAGTCTGCAAAGAGTTTGTTGTACAGTCGGGGGTGCAGGAGGTAGTTCCTAGATGTTTTAATTCCTAGATGTTCCTCATGCCTTGCACGCCCCGTTCAGAACATGGCGAGGTGCCAATGTTGGGTTTCGATATGGACGCGTCAGGTGGACCCCAGTAGAATCAGAAGAAGTGCAACTTATGCTTAACTTTTGATTTATTTATATAATTGTGATTTGCGACCGAATGCAACCGATCAAATCCCACATTGGTATACATTGGTCCAGGGGCACAGGCTCCTGGGAAGTGTGTGAAGGTTTCACCGACAGGAATGGGACGCCAGAGATTGCAGCAGATGTTGAATCCGTAGAGGCACAGCAATGGGACACTGGAGGTGGAGTGCAAATTCTATCAAATTCTTAGTTGCAAAATTCCAGGTCAAAAGTGCTTCAAGCACGATTCATACATCTACATAGCTCTGAGGTCTCTTTATATTCCATTAATTTTGTGATGAGCTGTGCTGTCCTCTATTTCTGCATTTGCCAGTGCTCAAGGAGGGGCCCGAATCGTGATCCAGGCTTCACTTCGGTCAGAGGCATGGCAGATGTAGCGCCGACAGACAACTATGGTGCGTGGCTGAAGTTTGCGCCGAGTTGCATGTCAGATGCGCAGTGGGAGGTGGCCGCTGAAACGCCCGAGGCTGTGCTTTCTCATCGCTCATGCCCTTGGGGTGGTCACCTCATCAAGATCGACTCAAAGACGCTTGGTACTGCATGGTTCTGCATAGTACTGCACAGAGATACAGTTTCTCGATATGCCTTGATGTTGCAGGATCTTCTTTGTTCACAGTTGATTTTGTTGTGTTTTGAACATGTTTGAACTGGTTTGGGCATGCTTGATTCATGCCCGCGTTCAGCCGCCACTCCATTCTGAATACTGAACGTGCGCTTGATCTTTCCGGCAGCAGACTTCAAGTTATACAGATATAATATATTACTTATTATTATTATTATTTATAATAGTTTATATATATATATATATTTAGGTATATACGGTATATATTTCAAGCTACTTTCCCCCCCAGCTCAGGAGCATCTTCATCCAACAAGCTCCGGAAGATCCCACCAGCGTCATGGTACGCCCTGAAGTTCGGGCGATGGTGCCCCCGGGCCTGGGCAGGACGTCTGGCTGCGAGGTGGATCTGCAGCACCTCGAAACCTATGCGCCCGGTGATGCCTTGATCCATCGCAGAAATTCCATGTGGATCCTGCGCTTAGGCGCTGCACCTCGGCCCGGTGTGAAAAATTCCGCCGTTCAATGGGAACATATGGGAACTGAAAAAGCAAACTGATATCAATCCATCATAATCCATCAATGAACCATGACATCTCATGACTTGTGATTCTCACCTGCCCCGCCCCGAAGTTGCGAGCTCGCAGGCTCTATGGGCTCCTGACCCGAACACAATGGCAAAAAAGATGTCAGATAGAATGTTTGAATATTGATTAAAAGAATGCAAAACAGACTGCCAAATAAAATGCCAGAAAGAATGCCATGGACAGATTTTCAGAAAAAGTCAACACATATGTCAGCATTATATTATTATATAAATGCAAAATAATTATACTGCTTGTATATGCATATATATAATATATTTAATATAATATATATTCGCCAGATAATATGCCAAATAGTTTGCCAAATAATAGTAGAATGCCAGATACACTGTTAGAGGCAATGCCAGATAGAATGCCAGATTCTAGATAGAATGTCAGATAAAATGTGAACATGTGTGTACGTATGTCAGATGGCAATGGAGACTGAGATTAAAAAACAACATGTGTCAGATTCAATGCCAGATACTGTAGAATGCCAGATGAAATGTCAGATGAATGCCAGATGAATGCCAGAACAAATGTCATAATATACATCCTCCTGGGAATTTAGCCTAAAGAGTTCAGGACATGATGTCTTTAAAAAACTGTATTTTTTAAGGGACATACCTGGCCGGCAAAAAAAAACAGTTTCTATTTTTTAAGGAAATCCTGTTGTTTAACGGTCTCCTATTCTTTAAGAGGCCTTCCTAAGAAGATTCTAGGAACTTGTTTTTTGGATCCCTGATGCTTACCCCTGGCTGAAATCCTGAGGGTCCAGCCCCAAAAAATAGCCAGCCGGTACCTTGGATACCTTCCACCGCATATTTATCCCAGTAGCTGTTTCTTATATTTTGGGGTTGTATCGGAATTTTATTCGCCGGATACCTTTACTATCAAACATAAAAGTTCTACACGTTCTTGACTCTCAGTCCCACGGAATTTTATCCAGGAGGGATTTTGGTACATGAAACAGTTCAAGCAGGGATTTTGGACGTTCTGTTTGGAGGGCATTGTGCGCGATAGGTCTCCAAATCCACAGGGCTCATGCTAGCCACGTTTTGGGATTGAGCCGGAACTGCACTCTTCCGTGCATATGTTGTCCTGGCCCCGTTGACAGAAAAAAACATCAGCAGCCAAGGATCATAACCTGCAAAGACCTCACATTTTTCAAAAATTGACTCGGCCGAATAGACGTCAAACCCTTGGATTTTATCTGCCTGATATCTCTCTACAAACCAAGTGGGATGGTATAAATTTTGGGTCTCGAGCCCAAATTTTAGCCTATGCAGGACCTCCTGCCCAAATTTTATCCAGCCTTGTTTTTGGGGTAGGTTCGGAGTTTTAGCTGGCTAAAATCGAGGCATGAGACTAAAAGGCACAAGCAACGGGGATTTTTTGGATTTTTTTGGTATGTTCATCAATGTTTTTGGGATTGTGTGTCAAATGAAAACCAGCTTGCCTTGCCTGCCGTCGTCCATTCGACTGCAACTTGGGTATCTAATTCTTTAAAGGGGCACCCCTTCGTGTGCAACTTGGGTCTCCAATCCTTTAAAGGGACATACCTTGGCTACTGTGTGCAATCTTGGTTCATTGGGGTTAGATTCTTTAAGGCTGAAATTTGCCCTGGTTCGCATTCTTTAAGAGGCTACCAGTGGTCCCTTAAAGATTCAGGGGTCAGGGTCGGAGCCCGAATTGCAAGGGGGATTAATATACATGGGATAAAATGTCGGCATATAATCGCCAAATAAAATGCCACAATATTTTCCAGAATTTATTCCTGCAGATAGATTGTCAGTTGGTGGGGGTCCCTTGAAGAAAGTGATTTGAAAGCATGCCATCCTGGTCGCGATTCTCAGCCAAGGTCCTTTTCGGCAGCAGTCGTCACGCCTCTGAGGACCGCATCTATCACAAGCTCCCTGTGTCGTCGCAACACCGGCTTTACAAGGATTTCCCTGAGCCAGGAGATTGTAGCTACTTTGCATTGGAATCCGTGTGGATCCTGCGCCGTGTGCCAGGTTCGGTGAGTCACTATCGTTCGGTCTGTGTGTTCACTACACCCGAAGACACATGGGCAACTTGGGCTTTGCCCCTTTTCCCTGCTTTCACTCATATGCTCCACAACGCTCTGGATAGAATGCTTAATGGTCCCTCGATAAGGGACATGCGGGCCATTGATGCAAACATGTACCTGGTCCTCTCACTGCGAAGCTTCAATCGTGGACACCCGATGATTCCTGCCAATGACCCTGCTTCGGAGGAATCTTTCAACATTTCGGCAGGCGAACATCTCGGCTTGGTGTCTTGGACCCGTTTCAAGTCTGATGAGAAGTTCCACTTGAGCGGGTACATGCGGTGCTTCATGGAGCGGCTGGGGCACCAGTTGAAGACATACGAGGTGATGGATGGCCGCAAGCTCGTCAACTACCAGTGTGTTGTCGTGCGGCAGGAGTGGGAGCAGCTGAGAACATCTTTCTATCAGGCTTTCAAGGTGCAGAAAGCAGCCTACCGCCATGCCAACGGGGGAACTTCCACACCAAGCTTGGTAGCCGATGCTGCTCCACGCTTTGCTTTGCGCGAGTTCAGTTGCTGTGCCCAGCCACAGGGCATCAAAACTGTCGTGCGCAAGACCTTCATTGACCTTGATGAAGATTCAGACGATTCCGCTGACTGCCTAAAGCGAAGCAACTCCACCGGTGAAGTAATGACCTTGTACTTTGTATAGGGAGTTGCACTTTGTTGCAGCATGTTGCAATGGAATAATTTGATACCTCGCAGACTTGTAAAGCGATGTAAAGGGTAGTTCTGCGAAACACATCTTTTTTTTGTACAGTCAGGGTGCGGGAGTTGGTTTCATACTTTCTTAAAGCCACCGCTCGTGAGAACACCCCTGGGCCCTGTCCTGCCAGAATGTGGCGCTGTGTCGGGAAATTTTGATGTGTTGGATCAGGGATCGGCACTGTGAGGTATGAAATGCCGCCGACTTGGAAACACATGATCACATGTGCCCCCATATGTAGATGATTTTCCCATTGAAATAGATGTTGAAATGCCAATTTGTAGTGGGTTTCCCCGCCAGCCATGTTTGATTGCCAGAGGGCGAGAAGTTGATTTCCTACCTCAGAGTTGATCATTGTGATCCTCTTCCCAATCTTCGCAGCAGCGGCATGTTGGCCAAGTACAGCAAGAGTATTCGGCTCCATCTGGGATGCGAGCAGACACTCCAGCTCCAGAAATTCCAACAGAAAGCCTTTGGAGAATAGCGCAGACAGGGGTCGATGGGGTGGGTGTTTCGTGGATGTTCGTGTTGGATCTTGGTCCATCTTGGTCCATCTTGGTCCATTGTTCTTGTCCCATAGAGATTTTCCAAAGGAGACCACAAAAGTATACAAAAGTCATGTTCACCGGCCTCAGGTCGCAGGATCAGCTACAGCTAGATGGCGGCTATCTCGGAGGCCAGATGGAATGGAAACTGAATCATGGTTCATTATTGTCATGCATGGGCATGGATCTATTCCTGGGACCCATATGGACTATAAATGACTATAACATCTATAACATTGGGGAAGGGATTTGTATTGTTTCCCATTGTTGGCTGATTTCAGCCTTCAACTGGTGGATTTGGTGTGAGTTAGCAATGTACTTCCAACGGCTGGCATCGCTCAATCTGCATGTCTTAAGATGTTTTAGTTTAGAGGTGACATTTCAGATCGAAGCGATGCTGCACTTGAAAGTTTGTAAATTGAGATTCTCGCATATTCCAGATCTTCGCACACTCCACATCTTCGACAGCATTTTTGGTTCCCATTTTTTTTCAGCACAATCTCCAGCCATTTCTCCCTGGCGCCATGCGCCCCGCATGGACCCGGAGCCCGAGAGCGTGGCGCCCGAGACCGTGACGGCCTTCCAGCGCTGGGCTCGGTGCTTCTGCGTTTGTGTCTTTGATTTGGAGCAAGGACAGCGGCTGCTGAGCACTGCTGAGGGCAAGATTTTTTGTTGTCTGCATGGGTTTAATCAATATCATGGTTTATTGTGTTTAAATATGAATGTTTTTTAAATATGTCTAATATTTTTAACATATTATATATATATATATATTATATTATTTTTGATGCAGGATAAAATATTGAGACTCTCCTCTCCACTTGAGAAATTTTATATAATAGAACCATGGCATCTACTGGGCAAACGTGCATTGTAGTGAAATCAAATTATTTGCCTTTGAAGTCTATTTTATGTCCATGACATTCTTTTTTTGGGGCATGGTTTTTTCGGGCAGTTGGATCGGGCTAAGCTCTAGGCTAGAGCTGGAGTTTCCAGCTGACAGCTTAGCTGATGAAGATCGACAGCTGCTCCGCTACTTGGCCTTCCCGGATTTCGGCCCCAGCCGCTCCGCTGTGGAAAGCGCCGTGTTTCCGCTGCGCTTCCGGCGCGGCAGCGGCGCCTCGCGGGGCGTGTCGAGGACAGGCCGCAGTCCCTGTGGAGGACCCAAACGAGAAGATGGGTTCTACTATGCAGCCTCATCCTTTCAACAGCTGCTTGGTGGATTCAAGATGATTCATTTTTTTTGTTTTATATAATTTCCTGATTTATTGTTTGATTTGTGTGCCATCCCAGAAAAAGGTATCATCATCAGACTCGTTTTTTTTTGGATTTTTCTAGAATCCGTCGAAACTACCGCCCAGGCAACCTGATGAGGCCAGCAAACGAAAATGCAGTCAACGCAGCCTGGTGGTGGTTTCGCAGCACAGTTTCTTGTCCTTATGGGCAACACTAGTGATGCGACTAGGTCAATTACAGCATTTGCCTTTTCGCGAGCTCCTGCAGAAAGCTGTGCAAGCCATGGCAGAATGGCCAAATCCACCAAGTCCAAGCTCCACCAAGATGATGACACTGCCTTTGCTTGGCGGCATCCTGGACTTCTGCCCTCCTGGTGCCACTCAGTTTGCTACAGCCAATGGAAACTTGCTCACAGCTTCATCTCCGGCGCATGAACCCGGTTGGTCGTGTACTGCCGCCTGGTCCACTGGGTCACGCAGCAAGCAGCAGCAGCAGCAGCGCGCCCGCGCCGGCGCTGCGGCGGCATGGGCCTCGCTTGCCGCGGAGGAATTGGATTTTGTGGCTGACCAGCTGGGGTTGACTACCATACCACCAGGGCCTTCAGGGCAATGCCAGCCATATTCCGCCTTTGCTCCACTCAGCAGCTGCTTGTGGCCACTGTGGGAGGTGGCATTATGTGGTGAGCCTTTGGTCATATTCTCTCCAGATTATCCCACCAGGGTGGCGGGGGCTGTATTGGTAGTGACTTCTCTGATTTCGCCGGTGGAATATATGGGGGATTACCGACCCTACTTCACCATCTATGATGGTGATTTCGAATACTATCGCAATTGCGTTCAAAGCAACGCAATCAGCAGTCAGGCTGCCATTTTCGGGGTCACCAATCCAATGATCATGCAACTCTGGGCCCGTTTCCCCACTGGCCTGCTTCTCCGCCCGCTGCACGGCGGTACGCTTCCACTGCCTGAGGCGCATCACCAAGTTCTACTGGAAAGTCCCCAGGGGGAACGGCTGCAACGACTTCGGAGGGAGCCGCTGCCCAAAGTGAAAGGTACCAAACCCTGGGGAAGTATCATGGATGATCAGCATGATGAGCGTCTCATCATGCAGCCGGATGAACAGTTTCTGGCTCTTTTGGAAACACCCTGTGATGAGGACAAGGATCAGATGGCCAGGCGCTATTTCTATGAGCTCACCTTGGCGTTTCTGCGCCCCTTCCTGCCACATTTGAAGCTGTTGAAGGGACCAGAAGCCTTCAACGAAGAATCCTTTTTGGCATCCCTGCAGCCAGTGGGTCCTTTTTCGCAGTTGCCTCGGGCAGACTGCCAATTGCTATATGACCGCTTCATCAACGGCATCAACTTTCAGCCTTGGTTAACGAAGGAATTGGCCAAGCAGCACCTGAATGACAAAGACTCAGCAGGTGCAGTTTCACCCAGCGACGAAAGTGCGAGTTGCAGTGGGGTCGCTGATGAAAGGACTGTTTGCAAGGACTGGTTTTCCCAACACCAGGGCTTCGCCTGGTAACTCAATCCCTAGTGGGGCTACATGCCAGGAATACCCTGATGGAAGAACTCAGTCATTCTGGGCTCATAGGGGTCCCCAAAATGATGCAACAATATATCAGATCTTTCCCAAGTGGCAAATGGATGCACCAATCCCGATTGATTGTGAATCTCACAACTATATTAACATATATCAACATTTAACTATATATATATAACTAGATGGATACTATATGGTACTAGAATGTACTAGATCCCAGTTACGATTCAAGGGATGCACATCCGCAGATTCTAGGACCGTCTTGGGCAGCTCTGTGACAGCCGAACTGGAGGAGTTGCGTCCGTAGCTGAGTCTGGGCAGATCAGGAATTATGGGTGTCATATAGTGGTTACATATGATTATATAATGTATATAATAATAATTAATAATACGTTACTAGTAATATGGGAAGAAACCATGAGTTTTCTTCAAATGAGTTTTACATGGTCTTGAATTGCCGAATTTTCTTAAAAGAATAGTTGGCAAGTTGTTCAAAAGGAGCTACTTTTCATGGTTCCCGGGTCTTTTGATGATTTTTCAATTACGTACATTTTTGTTTCCAGGCGCGCTATTTCAACCGCTTCTATTTGCTTCTCCTGTTTAGGTGACGTCATGTTGGACCACTTTGAGGTTCAAGCTCGGGCATGGGCCGATCTTGAACATGGTGTATTATCCGTTAGCCTCAGCCTCAATTTTTACACTATACAGATATATGATATATGATATATTATATATGATAAAACTACATCGAATTACAGCATACGTCAGATATCATAGCGTAATTATTCTATATACATATTATGGCAATAGAGATATCATAGTGTACTGATATATACTATTGTATGCTCATATATCATGGCTAATATATATATAAATATATATATATATATAAATATATATATATAAATGTATATATGTAAGTAGTATTACCAGTAGTACCCGCACGAGGCGGCGCGGAAGTTGCCTTAAGGATATATAAGAACTTTCTCATCTACAGAACTTGGATGCGCCGTGCGCCAGCCAAGCCCGTGCGTGCGTGCACTCTGCGAAAGTGGTGTCTTGTTTCACATGTCACATTTGAAGCTCCACTTCGCACTTCACACTTCTCATTGCGGTCTTCACACTCCACACTACACACTTCACACTCCCCACTTCACACTTCACACTGCACGCTTCGCACTCCACACTTCACTTCACACTGCACTCTTAAGACTCCACACTTCTCACTTCTCACTGCTTTCTTCACACTCCACACTTCACACTTCACACTTCACAGTCCACACTTCACACTTCTCACTTCTCACTGCTTCCTTCACACTCCACACTTCACACTTCACACTCCACACTTCACACTGCACTCTTCACGCCCCACACTTCACACTGCACTCTCCACACTCCACACTTCATCTCATCTGAGCTCTTCTCACCTTATCCCAGCTCATCTCTTCTCATCTCTTCTCATATGTCATCTACGCTTTCATGAACCACTTCCCAGTACTACTACGAAGGAACTTGCAGGCGCCGTGCGCCAGCCAGGCCCATGCGTGCGTGCTTTGTGCGAAGCTTTTGCAGTGCTGCTGTCCAAGAACATGACCCGCGCGCGATCCCGGTGCAATGCAA